TGCAGTGTTGCCAATATTAGTGTTATTCTCCTACACAGGGCACGCAGATCACACAAATACAGCTAATCTAACTTTCTATTTTGTATGCAGACTACAGTTTCATTCTTTTGACACATCCTGTTTGGGTTTTTTTCAATTTGGTCTCTATTTTAACCTTTAATTACAACTTCTCATTTGCATAATGAGATGCACTCAGAACACACTTTTCCATGGCCCTTATTTTCCTTTTTTGTCACTTAAAATGAACTGATAAGCCAAGAACTGGATTTCCACTCTTGCAAGAATATTAAAGGACTGTCTCCACATTACAAGTTTTACCATTGCATCTCTAAAACAGCAGAACAAAACCAACCTGCACCTATCAAGGAAAATTCAACATTGCCATTTCTCAAAGGACATAGATCAAGACCAACTTGTAAAAGATACCAATTTGTGACCAAAAACCAACAAAACACTGCACTACTCGCTTACCAAGTGAGAAACTCCACATCACTTCAACTAAAGAATGGGGATAATTTAATTAATTAGTCCAGAAGGACCCCACAAACCCCTCAGTAAAAAACAAGCTGTCCTTTACCTCTCCTTCTACAGAGGTCTCTCCTTAAAGAATCACTAGATGGACAAATGTAACAGCGTTAAATAAACATCCAGGGGAAGCAACACACACTAACTGAAATATAACACAAGTGGTAATCTGACCTGTCTGGAGCATGCAGATCTCAACAACTCTATTGATATCACAAGAGAGAAAGCTTAATGAGTAAAGGGCTGGAGTGGAATGTGTCGCACCTGGGTTCTCTTCTCAGCTTTCCAGCTGACTTGCTGTTGCACCTGAAGTCATGTCATTTCTCTATTTCCACTCCCATACCCTGCTTGGTTTTATTATTAGCTATAAGTATTGCAAAGTAAAAAACACCTTTCACTATGATTTTTTCCAGGGCCCGCATCTGTTTCTGTGGTACTGTTAGGAGTTTTAAGGCAAGCTGGCAAATCAAAGAACAAGGAACAGAGTTTACGGAAACTTTGTTTTTCACAACACCACTTCTATTGGACTATATCCTTGAGTTATCTAAAAGTTATTGAAATTGAAAAACTAGAGAGACTTTTTTGCATTTACCTCCTTCCCTAACAAAGTGGGGGTTTTATGCAGCTTATTGGATCAGTTCCTACACATATATTCTCAAGCTCTGAGCAGTAAAATTTGGTTTAGGAAAGTTCAATTTGTTGTTTCTCTCACACAGAAATATAAATCTCATTTTGACCCCTCAAAATAAAGAACAAAGCCACAAATATTTACAGTACCCAGTCAAAAAACTAAGTATATAAAAGCCATGCACAAAGCAGAGATGATGTATATGTAACACTATCAGGTTACTTCTTTTAATACCCTTTAAAGTCTCAACTACAACTTTACTTCCAAAGAGGCCTCTAATAATTTTACTTGAGAAGTCAAAAATACAAAACCAGTTGTCTGTTTCTAAACCAAAAGATTCTATTTTCAATATTATTGTGTCTATATGTTAAGTCAATAACAATGCTTAAACATTAACCTATCAGTTGTATAGCAATCAACCAATTAATTATCATTGTCTTGTAGGTAGATGCTTCATATTTTGCCACATGAATGGGGAAAAAAGGGAAAAAACAAAAACATACTGAAAACAAAGCTATCTTTCAAATACTCAAATTAAGCAAAAACGACACATTACTGCAACTGCCAGTGAAAAGAGCAGCAATAAACTTTGACTGCAAAGGGCCATGAGAATGCATGTATTCATGATGGCCTTCCCTGAAGAAAGGAACCCTACGGAGGACCCAAGCCAATCTGTACGCAAACATACACACTGGAATTATGGACTACAGTAGGATCAGGATAAACACACAGGTACAGGTTGCCACAAGTCCATCAGTTATTTTCATTCCCTGACACATTGGCCCCTACATCCACCATCAAGATTTAAGTTGGGTAATGGAAAAACTAAGGAGGGAGTAAAGCCCAAGAAAACACATACTCAAGAGTGACAGTGTGACATAGATTATTTTTTTTTAAATTTCTTAACCGAAATTGCAGATCTCCCTCCTCAGAAAACTGTAATCTAGCACTTCTTGCTTTTAGTAGAGAAAGGACACGATGAAAACATGGCTCCATGTGAACAGCGCTGCATATCTAAAACGACTGTACCCCTTTCCTTCCATCCAGTTTAGCAAGAAATGTTCAGCACTGCACAATAACTTCTCAGTTGTTTATTGCTGCAGCAAATGTTTGCTGCAATGTGAATGACATGCTGAACATACCACAAACAGTAAAACGATAGCTATTAAAACCAAAAATATCAAAGGGACTGGAAAAGCATTTTGACAAGGAGGAAACATTAAACCAGGTCTTTGTAGCATTTGCTAAATACAGAGGCTCATCATATTTCAGGCC